TCTGGTGTTAAAGGTGGCGGGAGATATGTTTGTTCAAGAAATGCTTGGCCTTTAACATTAAAATGGTCTAGGGTTGGTATTTTTGTGTCTTAAACCTGCAGTGTGTCTTGAGTCACATGTGGTTGTTTACCTGTATGCCAACGACATTTACAGTATTATGATCTTGTGTGTTATTAATTTATGTTTTTCTCATTATTTGATCTGTATTTAACCAGTTCAACCAGTTTATAACTAATTCTCATTAAAAACAACAACCTGGTCAACAGGCTGTAGCAAAAAGCTAATTGTACAAACAGCATCTTATTACACCTTACACAAAGTGTTTCATTTATGTCTTTTTTTTTTATAAACAGGTGACATTTTTGTAAAATTTGTAACATGTACTGTTTCATATATATGCTCAGAATTAAACAATATCAAATTAAGTTCAACAAAGTAAAGAGAGTTGAGGAGCTGCAGGTGTGAAACTGATTATCTTAATTACAGATCATTTTACAAACAATTACATCTCATTATGCAATTATAGAGTGAGGCAACACTCAGGGGAAAACCCTGGGCCTGTTTGTTCAATTGTTTTTACAGATCATAGGCGACTAGATAGAGACAGGTTTTTCTTTTATAATCTTTAATACTTTAAAATAAAATTAATAATTGGATCAGATTGAAATGCTTTGGTCACATAATGAAAATAAATATAATTTTTAACTATAATACACAATCTCAGCAACTGATTTAGTATATTTAGAAGGCACCAAGAGTGGAACGGAGAATAAATGAGAAGTGAACTCAAGGTTGTTCTTACATTTTCATACATGTAAAGCAGTTAATATTAATAGTGACTCTTTGATTGTCCAGTTGTAGAAATAATCTGTTTAAACATCAGGTCAAAAAGAATGAATATAGAATAGGTTCTGCTTTTTGACTTAATGCCCCATGATCATAAAGGAATGTAAAATGCAGGAAGTAGTCCCATGTAGGGGGACACCTCACCTCTGAAAAAGGGGACACCACCCCTTAAACGAACATCATTTCTGTGTTTTGTGTTTGAAACTGTTAAAATAAGATTCATCTTTTCCCTTGGGAATGAACAGATATATTTTACAAATATTCTTTGTCTCAGCCCACAAACTTTATAAGTTGACATTAATGTAAAAAACAAAACAAAACAAGTTTTAACCTCACTAACCCAATATGAACTCAATAACCCAAGGCCTTTATATGAACTGAGAGATCTTTTCTTTGAGTTCTTTATATTAACTTGATACAGTTTGAACAGTTCAAGCATATGTTGATATCACTGTATCCATGAGGAAAAGGAGTACTGTTCTCAGACTCATTCCCATGAAGATAACAAATAAGGAGTGTAGAGGAAAGGGTCCTCAGATCGTTGAATTTTTATTAGTAATTTTATTCTGAAGGGGCACCGCTTGCTTTCCGGTTCTTAAGCAAGACAATTATTAAATTATTAAACCAGACTCAAGTTTTAATGCTCTGGTGAGTTCTATTCATATTAAGTTCAAATGTCATATATAATAAAAACGCTTTGAGTCAAAGTCCACTTTTGTGAGATTTATTATCAATTTTGGTGAATATAAGTGATCAAAATGATGAGTACAGCTGAAGAATGAATAATGGCTTTACTTTGACAACACATGAGGTTATGGAATTATCTTCTAAACTTTAATATGGTGAATTATGAGGTTCAAAAGCAGAGTCAATTATAATCTATAAAGTTAGCTAAATGAAGTGTTTTGGCTAGATGTGATTTGTCAATTTAGGAGAACTTAATTCTAATTAGTAATAATGGATTTTGTTAGACTGGACAACTTCTTATCTTGGGCATCAGACACCAGCAGAGAAAGAGGAGCAGCTTTTCCTACCGGTTGGAGGTTATAATTCAACCACTGCGGGTTACCAGGACTCTATTGAGATGAGTTAAAGCGTCAAAGGTGGGATTTCCCTCGACACTGGACATCAGCTGAAATATAGAGTCGACAGTTAGGCTCCCGATGGGGTCAGCTGATGAGCTCCTGGAGGGCCGCGAGGACTGCTCTAAGCCAAATGTCAGAATCAATTTCTTTGACTTAGAGGGCGTTACAATATTGATGGTCGAGCCAATCACAACAGAAGGGTGGAATGTCATTTCTGTTTTATTCCGTACCTGAATGTTTATTCGTGAGAAATGTGTGTTTTAAGTAATCTTTCTTTAAGAAAATAAATTTCTCTTATTTTTTATTTTATAAGGTAACTTTGTGGCAGAAAAAGAACTTTAGATTTATGAAAAACAAGGCCAAGAGTTAGAACCACCTATTTGGAGAGGTGGACCAATCATCTCTGTTTTAACACAGAGTTAAGTTTCACTTAAAAAAAAAAAAACAAAAAAAAAAACTCCAAAACTTCACTTCACACTTGCCTTCAGAGAAGAAACACTTCTTAGCAATTGACCTCAGAGAGAGAAGAACTTTCTGCAGACAACTTCAAAAAACACTTCAGAGAAAGACACATCCTCCTAGAGACATCCTAGGAAGAAAGAGAAAAGGGAGAAGCACCCTTCTGCAGACATCTCAAGACGAATGACGGGACAAAAAAGATACAGAACCCAGCACCTGAGCAGAACCTGAACCGGGCTGGCATTGAGCAGAGCCAGCCACCTTCCCAGAGTGAACTATGAGTAATCAGTCCAGAACAGTTATCCATTGGAACCAGGTCCAGAGGGAGGATTACGGTCTTCCACAACCAAGGTAACTCGGGAGATTCCTCAACTCACGAGCTGCCATTTGCACCGACCTGCCTGGTATCCCCAGAGGCTGTTCAAATTGGACAACTCTCATGGTTTCATCTGTTTGCTGGTGAACCTACATCACAGTAATTGTACATTAACTTAAACAGATTTCAGCTTAGAAATAAAGTTTCAGCAATTTTAATAATAAATTAGACCTTTGATTCAAAGCCATTTGATATTCGGTTAACTTTTGTCATACATAATTTTCACCATATATATCACAGATTATTATTTTTATAATAAAATACATAAAAATAAACTGAATTTGTGATTATTTTGGTTTATCTGTGTGTATTAATTGATTTGATATTCTTTAAATACAAGAAAAGAACTCACATTCAACTGACATTGTTTTGGGGTAAGAGACTGATTAGACTTATTTCCTCTATAGAGAGGTGGTGCCCAAAAATGAGGTTATTTGCATAATACATGCATTTTTTATGAGCTTAACTCATAACTGATAATCAAAACATATACAAAGTATTTACACCCCACATCGCTACATATTAATGGTGCCCCGTGTGAGTCTCGTTAAAGAGCATTCTTTGATGTTATGCACACAACATCAACATTTTCCATGTTGGTTTGCTGAAATTTGAGCATAAAACCGTGTTAAAGCTGCATTTTTGATCTGTGCTCTGTCTGCTCCAAGCATATTTCTCCATCTGTGCGCTCCATATTGAAAAGGGTGGGGGCCGCCGAGCTCCACCGCGTTTCTGTTTCTCTCCATCTAAACTTGAATAAATGATTAACTAAAACGTTAATCATTGTATTTTCTGCATTTACGAGAGGATTATAGATGTATAATTCAGCTCTAAAAAGTGTCAGAACTGCTCTAATTGTACAGGCTGTTTAGCTGAAACTGAACTCCTGAGATTAACATTTGCATGCATTTTGAAAACCAAATGGGTACAGCCGGATGTAACTCAATGGTTTGAGGATTTGACAAATCCAGTTTTCAAAATTTTAATTAGAATATTTTAGATTTTAAGCTGCAAGAAATGGTAAAATCTAAAGAAATGCTGTGGACTTTCTGTTAGCATTAGAGTACCTAACTAATTGCTAACGTCCCGTTTAACAACACTTCAAACTTTAAAAAGTCCAAAATCTGATTCACTAAGGCAAACTGACCAAGCCGTGTTTTTAGAGTGAAGATTTAATGGTGAAAAATCTGTTTTTAAACCATCCAAAATTGCGCTTTTGGATCGATAATAGCAGCTAAGTTAAGAAGCTAAATCTAAGCTAACAGGCCGACCTTGGCTAAAAGTGATGCTTCGTCTGCCTAAATCTGTTAAAATGTCGTTATGCTGAAAAGTAGATCACTTTTAAAGTTGTATTTTCTCTACAAAAAGAGGCTGAGAATTTGTTTGCTAATTTCGTAAAATGCTTGGTAGAAAAATGCTATGCTAATAGCTCCCAAACTGAACATCCACCATTTTGAACAGAGCTTGTAACCAGAAAGCGAGACATCAAAGGTCCTCCTCTTTCCTTAAAGACATACACGCTTCTTATCCAACCTTGGTGGTCATTAAAATTTAAACCTTAATAAAGCTTACTAACTTAATTAAACACCTTAAACAGGTCTAATTAAGTTTAAGCATTTCTGGATAACACATTTAAAACAAATTAACAAACATTCTTATTAAATTTTGAAATAATTTCAATTTTATTAGTCCAACTAAGCTGAAAAACGTAGACAATTAGAAAATAAAGGAAAATCATTTTTGTGATTTTTTTAAATCGCTGAGATAAATGTTTTATATTCACTTTAACCTGACAAATATCAGTCAGTCACCAATGCATCGAGTGTATTTATAGATTTTAATACCAAGAAATCTTATCAGAAGAGCTGTGAAGACGGTCGGATCCACCTCTGTGCGCCCTCTTGATACAGGGGAACAGAATTTTGCACAAGACATGGCTACTTCTGCAGACAGGCTGCGCACGCATATGCCGTGTTGATAAACAAATAATCTGAAAATTATAAAATTCTCGCATCAATAGCAAATTGTTGCTGTCGTCTGCTGGTCATCTACCTGAACTGCTGCATTACACACGTTTGAATATTTTTCATTAAACTTTTATTTTATCAGGTTAGTCTCATTGAGTAACGAGCACTCATTTTCAAGAGAGACCTGTTTTAAACAAACAAACAAAAAAACACAGATGAGGTACACAACAAACAGTCATGAAAAGCATATAATATGACAAAGTAAATAAAAGAAGTGACATAAAACAAAATAAAAACAAGCTACATTATGAAACAGGGTAAAATGCTAAAAACAGGAACATGTCTGCATTAATTTTTGCATTGAACTTAACAGTAGTTTAAAATCCCCTTAAGAGGTCGAAGTCGACAGCTTTAGATCTTTTTGCAAGGTGTTCCAGGTTACAGGAGCAGTATAAGAGAAAGCCCTTTTACCAAATTCAATCTGCACTGAAGGGACACTGTAGGTAAGGATGTCTTGATGCACGCTGTATCTGCACTGACGACTTGACATGTAGGAAGAGATATATGAAGGTATCAGACCAAGGAGTGATTTAAAGATGAAAATGTACCACTGTGAGAGTTTGCGTGAAGTTAATAATGACCAATTGAACAGTGATTTCATAGTGCAACGATGGGTACTGTAGTTACAGCCAGTTGTGGATCTTAGTGTGCCATGAGAGACAGCATCCAACATTTGCGCAAGCTTAAAAGAGAGATGTGCATCGACCAAGATCCCCAAGTATTTATAAGAATCAACAAACTCAATAGAAACACAATTTTAAGCCTCATGTCAAAAACTTGGTAAAGAAATTGAAAGTAAAATTGGGTTTCTTTTTTAGAAATAGATCCTGCCTAACTCTGAACATGAATGCTCATGCAAGCACCCTGCAGATGTTGGATGCTGTCTATCACGGATGCTGTCTATCACGGTGCGCTAAAATTCATAACTGGCTGTAACTACCATACCCATCACTGCACCCTGTATTCATTGGGAAACTGGTCATCATTAACTTCTCGTAGACTCTTACACTGGTATATTATCTTCTCCCATAAAATTTGAATAAAAGAGATGCTATTTCCTGCATTTTTGGTGTATTTTAACAGGTTGTTAAACATCTGTAAACATTTGATTAAACTGATTAAAAACAGGTCTCTCTTGTAGAATGAGTCCTTGAGGCTCAATGAGACTGACAACCTGTATAAATAAAGGATAAAGGTTGAATTGAAATGACTATTTTAGAGAGCAACAACAATTAACAAGCATGTGTGTGAATGCAGCTCCAATTCTGTCAAGCGTCCTAAACCCCTTTCCACCCCCCCCCCCCCCCCCCCCCCACACACACACACACACTGTCCAACCCGAACTCTGATGAATTAATTCCTGCATGTTGTTCTGCTCCAATCTCAAAAGTTAATTCAAAGTGTGGCTGTGAGTTCAAATGAAATACTATTAGGTATAAAATATGCCAGTGCTTGAATGGTGACATAAATTTTAACTTTATTAATGGAAAATTAATCATGGGTCAGGTAAGATGAACTGTTGTAGAGTCACAGAGGTAGTAACAGTGTGATTTACTGGAATAAAAATAAAACCTTTGCACATATTCAACATTTGTTTTGCTACTAAACTTTACCCATTTTGCAAAAGAAAAAAAGAGTAGATCAACCCTTTTTATGCAATAAATAAATAAATAAATAAATAAAATAATAATAATAATAATAAAACCAAAGCACAAACAAATTTATTCTAGTTCTCCTTCTCAATTCCTCGCCCCATGATAGCTTTCTTTGTATTTCTCTCAGGTCTCAGGAGAATTATGTAACACTTGGGTCCAAACAGCGCCACCAAGAGACCAAAACTGGAAGCCAGGATGGCAAACACCTCCACTGCATCTGCGTATTTGCCTGGTGAGTTGATGTAAGCAGGAACAAAGGCCACCCACACGGCACAGAAGATCAACATGCTGAAAGTGATGAATTTGGCCTCATTGAAGTTGTCTGGAAGATTTCTAGCCAGAAATGCTAGAACAAAGCTAAGGACAGCCAATATGCTGATGTAACCCAGCAACACTGAAAAACCAACAATGGAGCCAACTATGCATTCATAAACTATCTTGTCATTGTGGTAGTGGGTGTTTTTATAAGGAGTGGGTGAGGAGGAGACAAGCCAAGTGGTGCAGATCGCTGCCTGGACAGAGGTGAGAACTAAAACTGTCCCCCTCTGCTGTGAAACACCAAACCACTTCAGACTTGCTCCACCTCCTGGCTTGGAGGCTTTGAACACAGCCAGAACCACCATGGTTTTAACCAAGATGCATGAGACACAAAGCACAAAACTGATCCCAAACACTGCATGTCTCAGTTGACATGTCCACAGTCTGGGTCGTCCAATGAACAGCAGGGAACACAGGAAACATAACTTCAGTGAGAGCAGCAGCTGGAAGCTCAGTTCTGAATTATTGGTCCTCACTATAGGTGTACTGCGGTGATAGATGAAGATCACCAGAACAA